TCCAATATAGAATGAAACAAAAGAGTGACACTCATATAGAACCACCTGAGTAGGAAAAACGTACACGCGTGTGTCTGTGTCACAGAGAGAGAGAGAGAGAGAGCTCTTTTGCTAGTTGATTTGTTTAGTGTTGGAGGTCACAGCTTGTCGAGCAACAAAAGAAAGAAAATGATTTAAGTATAGATTAGTATTAATTATCACTTTCTTTTGTCACAAATAGGCACCAACATGTAGACCCTTAATCCCATTTTGCATTAAGACCCCACTTACAAACCCTAATAATGACACCACAACTCAATTTTCCCTTTCAGACATTTGCATTTTTACCCTAAATATATTAATAATGTTATTCATAGTAAAGACTTTCGGTAGTCGTTTTACATGATATATACATGACAGTTTGTTATTTGATACATGAAGTAGTAAAAAATTACCACATTAATGCATCAAATGATAAGCGGCCATGTGTATACTCCGTAGAGCGACTATCGACAGTTTTCACTATGGATAGTATTACTCTAAACATATCTTTAATATAAATAAGAGTCAATCAAATCATGAATATAGTTTTGTATTTTTTCTTGAATTTCCAAGAAAAATCTTATTGTGGTGATATCATAATATGCAAAAGATTGTAGTTTATGTCCTTGTCATCCTACATATATAAACAAATGAATTCTCTTGACAAAACTTATGCTCTTAGGGAAAATTCTCCACCTTTTATGAAGTCGCCGAAAGTATTTTTTTTTCAAGCAATCATTTTGAGTGTTCCCACATTCTTTCCTTGCACAAATTCAAATAAAATGTATTATAGATTAAGTGCCTGTTTGCTAAAATTTTATAACTTTTTTGCTAGTCAAATTTTAATTGAATCAAATATTTCATAGAACTCACAACTATAATCAACTTTTCGATCATATGCTTCATATTTTTTATAAAAAGCTACTAAAACTTATATTAAAATCTTTGTCACATGGTCCCTAATTGTTTAAATGCAAGAAGTACAACACAGTAAGACGTTCGTGTGCATGGAATCTCCCTTCTGGCAGCCATTATTGGTCTTAATTTGTGAATTGATGGGTGAATGGATTAGTGTCATGTTTACTTGTTGGCCACTTAAGCAAGAAAGAGAAGAATGATCTTGAATACAAAAAGGCGTGTTAACTAAATGGGACCTTGAAAATAATCTACTTTAGCCAATAATGTACAACTTTTAAAAGGGCATAAGCTTATGGACATATCTATTTAATCTCCTCTTCAAACTTTTAAAAATACAGCTTAAAATTTTAATCAGGGATAATTGCATCAAAAACCTCAAACCTTTGAAACATTAAGAATTAAGAGTTTGGATTTGAGGTGGGGGTGGGGGTGGGGGTGGGGGTGGGTGAGGGTTGAGAAGAAGAGGACAAGTGTGTGTGTGTGTGAGTGTGAGTTTCTTATTTTTTAAATTTAATTATTTAATGTGATAAATGAAAAATTACTCTTTTGCACCTTTTTAAAATATTAAAAATATGGTCAAAGTTAAATTTTTGATCAACTAACAGAATTATGGATGAAAACTGTCTAAAAGGACTTCACATGCAACATTTGGAAATGTTAGGGGTGGCAGCTGCAACAAATCAAAGGTTTGGAGAAATTCTACTAATATTTCAAAAATTTGGAACTTTTGCTACAATTATCTCTTTTAAGAATGACACTTTGTACAACTCTTTGTTGTCTAGCTTCCGGAGTCAACTTTTGATTT